ATCACTCACCGATACGATGCGCAGCAGCGGAGTTGTAAACTGCATCGCGAACTACGTTGATCTGCAAAATAAAAATATATCCAAATTATAGCTTAAAGCAATTAATATTTCAAGAAATAATTGTTGCGCACATAAAATACGTATAATTATGAACGATTACTTCAAGTTTAAAGTCATAAATTTACCTCAACATTGCTCCGCCGTCGTCGGATGCCCCCCGGGCCTCCTCCTCCTCCTCTCAGATTTCTTCGTGTCATTCACACTATATATTCACAAAAACATGGTTAATTGTAATCGCACGTGCACTAATACTTGTACACGACAGTCCCGCAAATTATTTTTCGTCACATTGTTACAAAAGAATAATATGAAAAGCGCGTGCAAACACAACTCGCTCGACAATAAGCTCGTTAATAAGCGTGGAATTTTTAACGGAGGAATATTTTAATAGATTATTATTGATGTATTCAATAATTAGACGTATTAAATAATGAAATAAATAAGTTAGAAACGCCGGAGTTACGCTACGTTATTGGAAAATATTAAAATGCAGGTTAACTACGATTAATTAAATGCGTCGCGATATCTATTTCATTCGATTTGATTTATTCCTTAATTCGATATGCGACGTTCGTAATAATTAAGGATGAAAAAATCTGATGTTAACTTCACATTGCGTGATATGATACAATTAAAGTTGATAACTATTCATAAGGAATGCGATCGCGTTTGCTCCTAGTATCTGTCTCGTTGGCGTCTCGAGAAATAATACGCGTCGAACGCCGTTACTTGCCGGCGCGACTCTCACCGGACGTAAACAAAGTCGCGTGCTCGCATATACAATAACATAACGTTATTGAAAAAGAACCGGCCAAACTACGTAGCAATTGATTATTATTATGAAATACGTGTACGCTGAATATATTCTATCTCTCGCAAATTAATTATTAATAAACGTATATCACTTCACATTGAATCGCTCGGTTTCCACGTTTTCGATCCAAAAATAATTGATAGACAAAAAACTTGAACTGCGATGTGAAATATCCGAGATCGAGCAGATTCGAAAATATAATTCGCTTACATATAATATATTATAAGATAATTTACGGTTTGTACCTGAATTCCTACTGTAAGGAAGCATAGATTGCGTGAAATATCTGTTTCAATAAATAGTCACTCCTTACGAGTCGTTAATTGTGAAAATCAGTTTGCGCGAATTAATAATCGTTAAATATTGATGAGAGGGGAGGGGCGTTTTCTTCTAATATTTGTCGTTCTCGCGTCTCGAGAAAATAATGTAACAACACGGAACACGCACCGTACGCAAACTAGCGTCGAGTCAAAAATACCGTTATCACTGAAATATTTAACATAATATGTTATATGTAAATGCGCGAATATTCTGTTGCTCATATTTTTAATTAATTTCGATAGAGTTTTCAATAGAATTTCTAATTAATTACAATAAATCATTATATATACTATTATACGTTATTAAATTTTACATTTTAAAGAACAAAATTTTTCGATCGGAAAAGATATTTATAAAAATTAATTTAGTTTTCTTTTTACCAAAAAACTGTTACGATCTGAGCTATTAAAATTCTGCGATTTTGATAAATTATATAATAAGATATAATGAAAAAAAAATAAATAAATAAAAACGAAACAAAAAATGTTGAAAAAATAAAATAAAATTACCGCAAGGTAGTGATTTATTTTTTCTTGAATTATTAAAATCAACAACATCGTTTTCATATAAACTTAAAAAAATTTAATAATAAAATAACAATAATAAAATTAAATTTTCTCTTTTTCGCAAAATAAAGATAAATTATATTTTTTTTATTCAGATTTAACATTAAATTTAATAATTGTTTTCGAAGAAATAAATTCTTCAAATTTTTATTTAAAAAAAAATTTACATAACGTACAACTATTAAAACGTGTTTAATTTTGTGTTATCAATTGACTGCATATAAGAAGCTAAAAGAACAAATAAACTGAGCAAATAATGAAAGTAAGTTCGTGCGAATGTAAGCTTAATCACGTAAACTTTGCGCGATATTATTGGTGAAACTTAATCATTTATAACTTGTATTTTCATATTAAGATTTTTCAATTCTTTTGCGATCTTCGCTGTTGAAGTATTATACAGTTACCATGAGGCATCTTACACATTTAAACGTCGCAAATCAGGGATGATATCATACTGATTGCGCACAGGCATAAAAAAATTGTCCGTCTCGATTTGTTCTAATAGAGTCGCTCTACTAACAAGATCTCGGTCCTCGATCAAAGATGGTCCCGTCTCTATGAACACAAAATGGCCACATCGCGGCCAACGTCACGCACCGCTACGCGTGTGCTCACACCCACTTCCTTTTTACGCCACTCCCTGACCCGGGCCCGCGTCAGGCCTCGAAGAACGGATAATCTACGACCGGGATCGCCGGGAAAAATCGAGAAACCAATCGGCGATAGGATACGAAAAAATCCGAGAGAATAAACGTAATCATGTCGGCCGTACGGTCGAGCAATAATATGATCAGTGCCCAATGAACAAAGGAACCGATAAAATTTATAATTACCACCTTTTAATCGAAAGACCAAATATTTCGCGGCTAAATTGAGTACCGATATAATTATTTACAGCGCAACGGTAAAAATACCAGACGTAGACGTCACTTTGCCGGCCGTTATATTCCCTCGTATTATTCAACAATTATCAATCATCTCCGATATTGATTAACGCCGCTGGAAATTTATTTAGCCAACGAAAACAGAATTATTTGCAAATTTACGAATAATTTCGATGCATACTGAATGTTTTCAACCCTCGATGAAAATGAGCAGAAATTGAAGAACTCTCTCTTCCATATTCATCTTCGATATAATCGAAATATATCGAAACAGAAACAGAAGAATGCATGTAGAATCGATTGCGGGCAGAATCTCCCGTATTCCTGCTGAGGCAAAAAGTCCTAGTGCAATGCAGAAAACCGTCGGCTCTGGCAGATATACGTACAGTATCTCATACCGGGACCAGGAAGCATGGAATTGGGAATGGTAGCGAGAGAACGGCGTAGAAGAGAAGAGCGAAGAGGCGGTATAGCCTCGCGAGAGAGATGAATCTGGTCACGGTGGATCATAAAGTCCCTCGGGGATTCGCCCACGCCGCGTCCACTCTCTCAGTCGAGTCGGAGAGAATAAGCTGGAGGAATGAGGAGAAAGAGTAAGAGAGAAAAAAGAGTGAAAAAGAAGAAGAGAGAGAGAGAGAGAGAGAGAGAGAGAGAGAGAGAGAAAGGAGAGCGGGAAAGATAGGAAAAGAGAAAGAGAAGGGGAGCGACCGTGGCGAACGGGATGGAGAAGAAGGGAAAGAGCGTCGGAGAAGTCGAGGCACTCGCGGCGCAAAAAGCGAGGATGCAGGCAAAAAAGGAAGAGCGCGACGAAGAAACCGGTTTTTTCCAGTTGGGCCAGGTCGGGGCGTCGAACCTAGGGACCGCAGCCTCCCTCCGAGAATAACTTACACGCCGCAGCGGCGGCGGCGGCGGCGGCGGCGGCGGCAGTGGTGGCGGTGGTGGCGGTGGCGGTGGCGGTGGCATGGCCAACGACGCCGTCCTCGTTGCCGTCTTCTCAACGCACTCGCGGCTGCCCCAGGTTCGGGATAAAAAAGGAGATAGAAGGCGCATAAGTATGCCGGCGGTCGGCCACCCACTCTCAAGTTTATCGCGGGACAAGAGTGGAGCCGAGCCAAGCCGAGAAGAAACACGCGCGAGAATACGCGCGTGTACGCGAAACGGAGCTGGGAGGAAAACCGGAAGGAGGAAACCGAAATGGATACGACAAGACGATTATCGTCTGATTGGTATCCCTCCCCCTCCTCCCCTAGTCACTCATGCCGTCACGCTTGTTTATGAGCGGAGGAAGAGCCGGCAGAAAATCAGGATTGTGCACCGGCATCTGACACGTCGTTAAAAATGTCGAGGAAAGGAGGAAGTAGCGAAGAGGAGCTTTAGATGAGCGTGTATACGTACTTATAAAGAAGATATATTCTCTCCCTCTCGAAACGAAGAGGAGAAGACTATAAAGAGACGAGCGCGCAGAAATAAATCCACGTTTTAAGATGCGAAAAGCGGAAAATCGCGACAATAATAGAGGAGAGATGGAAGGTGTGTGAGAAAAAGGCGGCCATGTCGAAAAAATTCCGAGGTCATTGCCGTTCAGAACTTGTTTTTAGCCTTTGCCCGCTCCCGTGTTCGTTGCCTCAACGCGTTCGCGATTGTCCCAGGTCCGGAATAAAAAGAAAGACGATCGTCAGAGAAAGAGGTAGGGCGAGGTGGTGGTATGGGAGGGGAGAGGCGAAAAAAGTATGAGGAAAAGAAAAAGACGAAGTCGCGAATCGGAGAAGCAAGAACAGGAAGGAAGAGAGGAACGAGTGAGAGACCCCGAAACTCTTTGGGGTCATTGCCGTCCGGTCTCGTTTTAGCCCGTTCCTGCCCGTTCACAACCTTCTCTTTCTTTCGCGCCTTTTTCTTTTTCCTCCTCTCGTACTGCCGTTTTAAGCACTCTTTCGAACAAGGTACGGCCGCCGCCATGTTTTTCCTCGAGCGCGTGTACACCTACCGCCTTGTATGCGTGCGAGCAACCTTCGCGTGTTCAGATAGAAAAAGAGGGGAAAAAAGAAAAGAGACTAAAGAATAAAAAGAGGGGGGACGCAACGGAGGAGGCAAAGAAAGACATCAGGATAATGCGCGATCGGTGCGAATCGGTTCCTTACCGCGTGACCAGCCAAAGAATGAAGGGGGAAAAAAGAGTCATTCTATCTGGCACTGAGAGGACGTCGAATTTCATTTATAGTTTCATTTTTAATCCTGATTTTAATATGGCCGTTGGTAGCACAACGAATTCGATGAGATAAACCGCGGGTTAGAGCTTGTTTAACGTGCAAAGTAGAGAAAAGAAAAGAAAAAAGAACAAAAAAAAGAACAAAAGGAATGCAAATGCGAGCCGAAGATGTGCTAGGAACGGCCATGGTAGTTAAAACTGATGTATGGTACAAGCTAGTCATTCCATGCTTCGCATTCCCGTTCATGAGTGAGGTCGCACGGGGTCGATCGGAGGGTCCAAGGTCGATGAAAGTGCTCGCTTTGTTTTCGCAACGCAACGTCTGGCATCGGCCTTTAGGTTCCGTACATTCATATGCGAGACGAGGCCGATGCCTGGCAGCATTAGTCGATGAAATCCCTAATCGCGGTTAAGGATTAATCCGCTCCGATCGTTCTCTGGACCCCACGCTTCCACATATTTGTCTGTCTAGGCTTCGCTTCAAGTTCCACGATCATTGTACATACTCCCTAAGTTCCTCTCCATCTACTCGAACCGAGTGCTCTGATCTGGCGTTAAAGACAATGTTTTTCATCGGTCAAGACACACTCTTCTTATACATCTCTACTTTTACATTCATACATATCACAAATTGTTCGAGATTACAAAATTAGAATCGGTATTTGAGAAAAACGTATATGGGCACAGTATATTCCTCGCAATAGCGATACGTTGGAGATTACGATTGTAATTCCAATAATATCGAGATTTACACCTTAGTATCCTATCCCATAATGTTCCAAGAGCTAGCTATGATCTTTACAGTCTCTTCGCCGACGATTCACTTGCCGCAATCTAGCCATTCGCCAAAAAACACATACAAACAGATATAATTCTACTTTCTAATAATTTAATAATTTAAAAGATATAATTCCTTTTTAAAGCAATATTAAAAATTAAATCATTTAATTAATTTTGCAATCTACACAAAAATATCTCGGGAGCAAAATAAAATGTAAAATATTGTTTTTCGTTTGACAAGCAATGAATAAATTGCGGCAGTAAATGGATCATTATTAAACGGAGATATCAGTACACCTCGAAAGAGAGAAAATTTCGAGAGAAACTTTTTTTTTTGTCTGTTTCGTTATCTCGATTCTTTTCAATCTATACTTGACCGACTGGAAACCCAGCCAGGGCGCGATACCACAAAGTTCCTACCAGACACACTCGACATGAATTCCCTGTGCAAAGGAGTAGTTTGTGGTGGCGGCGGTTTATTGGTGCCTTAACTCTCACTGGTCAATCGTTCTGTTCTGTGCCCTGCCTGTCCTGCGCTTCTGGTTCGCAACTCTGTGGTGGTATTCTCTGGGTCGGCTCTCTACCGGTGCGCCGCGTGTGCCTGCTTCCGGTACTTCCGGGCCCTCAAAAAAGGAGTTGCAACAGCGTGTTGTGTTCCAGCAACACGCCGCCCTGATCGGCGGTCCGAACGCAACCAGCTGTCCAGTATGCCACAAACTCTTCCTCGGCGGTGAGGCGTTGATGGAGCATATGAAGCACACCCACAAGGACCCGAACGCCTCCGGAGTTGCCAGTAAGTATTGAAAAATCGCGTATCAACCGCCCTCTCGGCCGGTCCGTCTATGTCTCTCTCCTTTCCCCGTGCGTTGCTTATTGCCATTTTTTTCTCTCCATTCGCGCACCTACTAATATCTTCGTTAACCATAACCAATCCTCATTTTTTGGATTAATTGGAATCCGATCGCGGAGTCTCTCTCGTAAGCGGAGTGCACCGTTGCATGAAGTGAGCTTGAGAACAAAACCTTGACCGTGTCATTCCTCGCTGACCAATCGAACAAACTTAACGCCAAATCTTGCTCGCGCATTAACTTTCCAAGCGAAAGACTTAACTCTGTTCATTCTAACCGCATCTTAACTCTTAGCCAAAATCCTTAACTAGGATCGCGAAGGGCCCCTTAAGGGTTCCAAGATAGAGAAAGAGAGAGACCGACATAGACACGAGAGCGGCGACGTTAATCGTGAGTAAGACTAAGAGGAAGGTGGAGCAACCGCTCGTCGAGACACGAAGGGTGGTTCGTTCTTTAGTCTTTAAGTACGTTTCGCATCCATCCCAAAAACTTGCTTTGGCGCGGGCGATATACGCACACATTGTCCTTGTTCACTTCTTCGTACTGTTTTCGCCTGGGCGGGAAAGGCGTGTAGCATTTGGCACACTCGCCGACTAATACTTGGGTACTACTCGCTAATACAGATACACGATGCTTCGAGGGTGTCTCGTTCGACCTCTATGCGTGCCTTGACACATGCGTGCGCGATACGTGTGCAGACTGGCGGACGTACAGAGAGAACAAAAGTCAACCTACTCTGCTTCTTCGTTCAACTTTAAAGCGAGGAATCGGCGTTTTATTCTTGATTGTGAGTGCCGACACGATGGTCTGTCATAGTGAACGACATAGTCGGCATTTGAAATGTGAATGCTAACGAATCGCACTGTACTGCGAATACATATGGAGCACGTAACGTTATCGTTGTTCAAAATCGCAAGGATTTAGACGAGACTAAAAAAAATCGACTAAGATTGACAAAGACGAGTGATAATCTTTTTATCGCGTCTGTTCGAAGATGTAAGAAATAACGGACGTTCTTTTCATATATAAATGATCTTCTCGAAGAGAATTTTATGTATATTTTTTTTTTCTCTGTACGTTTGCGTATGTGCAACGCGCGCGAGTACGTCTGTGTGCATCCTGGCTTTTTGGGCCAGCGACCTTGCTCGTGAAAGGGAGTCAGCAGCGCGGTGGCGACGGCGCCGGCCGACGAGTACTCTGCGTGCCCGAGGTCAGTGCTCTCTCCTGGTCCTTGACTATCCGCGCCCGTAAGGTCTCCCTTCGCCTTCGAGGTCGACCGGAATCTGTGCGTACGTACGCGCGCGCGTGCACGCGAGTGCGTGAGAAATAAGGTGGGGGAGGAAAAAAAGAGAGAAAGAGAGAGAGAGAGAAAGAGAGAGAGAGAGAGAGAGTGAGAGAGATGTGAGAAAACATAACGATGGTGGAGGAGTTGGGTGAGAAGGAGGCGGCTTTCGTTCCTTGGGACGCTTTATCCTGCTTGGCATTGACCTTGAAATTGTGTCGCCCTATTGTTCCCTCCGCTGACTGCACAACCTCCGTTGCCGGGGTTTACCTAGCGAAGCGACGGACCGCCAACCACCCGTGCCCAGTGTGCGGGAAGCACTACGTCAACGAGGGTAGCCTTAGGAAGCATCTAGCCTGCCATCCTGAGACCAGTCAACTTAGCACAAGCCTCAGGATGTGGCCGTGCTCGGTGTGCCAAGCCGTCTTCACTCATGAGAGCGGTAAGTATTTAGCCCACGTAAACGTGAATCGATGGGCCGATCGGGTCCCAACACAGTAGCTCGGAGTTCGAAGTAAACACAGTTGAAAGTAAACACGATTCATTTTCATTCTATGCTGTAAACTTATGATTTTCATTCTGTGGAGTATAACTTACGTTTGTAACAAGTGAGAGTTATCGTCCATATATATATATACATATATATATATATATATATACGCGCGACCATATAATTATCTTTCTATACTGTGACCACGCTCGTTTTCCTCTGGTGTTAAGGTCTCCTGAGCCACATGGAGCATATGAGGATGGACCCGAAACATCAATTCGCGGCGCAGTACGTGCTAAGCCGCGCGGCCGCCGAGAGGCGGGAAAGGGAGATTCTCGCGAGTTCGAGTTTAGGTATAACAGATAGACATATTTCTCTAATTGTCAAGGAATTAAGTGGCGTCAAAATGGCCGTCGCATGGAAAAAAAATACGACACTGCACGACGCCAACTGACCGAACGGCATTCTAATATAACGCCCTTACGCTGTACAGGAGCAGGTTTAGGCGTGTTGGGAGGAAGTCAATCTGGAGGACCGCAAAATTTGCAACAACCACCAATGTGCCCGTCACCGTCGGCCCATTCGGACAGCAGTAGCGGCAACGGAAGACTGTCGTCGGCCGGTAGTGAACCTGGTACGCTACGATACTTGTTCTACGTCTACTACTCGAACGTCTATCAAGTATCTAGATATAATAGATATAATATTGTCGCATTTGCCCGAGCACAGTTTGTAATCTCCCCCCCCCCCCCGTTATTCACCTTTTTTTCTCTGATTTCGTTAATGACATAACTGTTGTGAAGTATCATTAGTGAATTTATTGTAGTACACGTAAGCTAGAATATATATATATATATGAACATATATGCTTGAGTCGAAATAAAATATTTACGAATTTCTGGTCTGAGTAATAATTCTCTCATGTGAACGGCGCTCACTACGGTCTGCTCTCTTATGGGCGGTTTCCACTTCGGGATGTCGCCTTTTTAACGCTTTAGCGTGTGCCAATTTATATATATCGACGCGGAATGATATATGCTACCTTAGTTAGAATAGTAAAATGTGAAAACCCCCGCCCGTTCATCGACCTGTACATACTGACGAGAGCAGATTTTTGCGCAGGCACCGGTCTACTGAATAACAACAACAATAATAACAACAATAACATGGCGTCGCCGGGACCGAGTGGCAACAAGCTCAGCGAGATACTCCGAACGGGAAGTCAACCGGGTTCGGCACAGCAATATCACGACGAGATGCAGTCGCAGCAACAACGCATGGCTGTCATGGCCGCCGTGTCAGCGGGTAAGAGAGAACAAATAAATGTCATTTATATATATTATATATACAATATAAAATCATGTTTAACGAGTTATGCTGATTTGAGCGAATTGAGTATACATCAAGTATGCATATATATATATAAGGCGCATGAATCTCCGAGAGAAGTGCGTTATCACTTATCGGTACAAAATTGCACGAGAAGGGAAAGCCGATAGCTTCGTTCCAATTATTACCGATAAAACTAGATTTATAATATTGTTTCTCCGCTGACAACATTGCATTCGCGTTGCCCGCTTTTCTCATGTCTCTTCGATGAGAACTCGAGCGAGCAATTATAAGCACGTTCGACGTGACTGTATTTGTTGCCGAAGGAAATAACATTTCTACGTTGCAGAAAACGCTTTGCACGATTATTATGTGCGATACTATGTGTGATATTACCGCAAGTTAATTTAGTAAAATTTATCGCGCACGTAGTTTCTTTCACGGAGAACTACGAGTCGTAACTAACTCGTCGAGAAACTTGCTGAAGAAACGACGATAGGAAAAACAAATATCGGAATTCCTTACCATCCATTCCTCTCCTCTCTTTCTCTTTCTTCCCACGATTAAAGTTGACACGAGACAGCAACCCTCCTTGACACATGTTCCACAGATCGTGATTCAATCGCGATGCTCTAAGATTCTGAAACACATCGTACGAAACAGTATTTTAAACTTAACATTACAAAAAGAGATGTTTGTTAAATATATATACCTTGCAATCTATTGCTATTTAAAAGGGATTAGAAAAGCGTAGTATATTATTTATAGGCTTTAAATTACTTTCGATGGTAAGCGAGATGTGAAAGCGATATTTCTGTTAGGATTGCAAAATTCCGTATCGCCTAATCTCTCGCCAGTCGACATGGCATCGCTGGCAGCGGCTATGAGAATGGGCAATAACGGTGATATGAGCGGAGGTACTCAAGGATCGACGGGACCCCAACAACAGGGAGTGCAAGCGAGTGGACCGGAGCAAGCTCTGAGAATGCATCAGGCGGAAGCTTTGCTCCGTTCCCAAGCCGAAGCTGCCCTACGACTTGCGGTAAAAAAGATAGCCAATTCTTCTATTATCAGAGTGAAAAAAAAAAGCACAAAGACTTTACAATCTCCATTTTGTATATTGGAAACGTAACGTAGACATGAGGATTGAGAGAATAACTCATAAATTATATTCTTTCGCAAAGAAGTAGAGATAAAAAGAAATAATAAAAATCTGACTTGAATGAAAGTAAATCAACAAAGTGCCTATAAAAGTCAACACAGGATGTTCAAGTACACATTGATTTCATTTTTATTCAATTAAGATTCATAAACGTTTCGAACTAAAAAAAAAAGCAAAAGTGAAGAAAAAGCTCAAACGTCTCTCACAGTTCTTTTCCACCTTTCAACTTTTTCCTACATCTTTGCGCAGGTATCTCAAGCGGCGGCAGCCGCGGCGAGTTCCGCGGTGGGCGGCGACGTAAGGCATCATTTGGGACAGCATAACGGAGGCAGCACCTCCGGTATGCCGGGACACCATACGAATCAACAAATGTCCCAACAGGATACTCTAACGCCGGATCTCGGTGAGTGATACAAAAATGTCCGGCGACACGTTGTTGCACAACTGTAGTCCGAGTCCGAGTCTCTAACCTCGGGACTTTTCTTCTTTTTTTTTTTAATTTCAATTTGCGACGAAAACTTGTAACAAATCGTCGACACTTGACGATCTTTCAGGAGAAGCGCTACGGCTACAGGAGCAGCGATTAGAGCAGGCCCTCAGGCTTCATGGCGGCGATCCGCGCGCCCTGAGTTTCACTCTGGCTCAACACGTCGTCAACCAGCAAAGCAATCAGCAACCATGAAAATTCAGTTACTACTGAGACGAGTGGACCCCTTGGGCGCCGGATCAGACGACCCTGCAGCAGAACGAGCGCATGAATCAGCAACTCTCGCAATCGTCGACGGAGCGCTCGACACCGTTGCACGATCAGCAGCAGCAGCAGCAGCAGCAGCAGCAGGGCCCGTCTACCATCGGTCATCACCAACAGCAGCAGCAGCAACAGCAGCAGCCTGAAGACCGTGGCGTCAAGAGAAAAGCCGACGAGATGATCGGTAACTCCGAGAACGCGTAAGAGCGATTACGCTCGTTACGATCGACGTGACGAAACGTCATTGTCATCGTTGACGTGATGATTCGCTCCTGCGCCCAAGTGCGGTCGCCAGAATTTCACTCGCTGTCTCAGCAGTAAGAAAACGGAAACAAACGAAAGGACTTTGTGAGAAGGAACGTGTACTTCGGTGTCTTCCTACTCGGGATAGAACCGATATATATCGGGCCGGACCTCAGCCGGAAATTAATCGAGGATATATCATCGTCCTCGGTTGACGAACTCTCCGGATGGGGTGCCGTGCCAGAGACGACGGGAGGGAGAGCGAGAATACGTACGTGTATAGCAAAACCGTTGCACGGCACGAGGCGGTCAAAATCGCAGTGGCGACGGTCGTCTCTCGCGATTCCCCGCGCGCTTCCCGCGCGCGGTTCCGCGTCGTTCCTACACCGGTCCTGGATCAAGGATCTGTCGAACGGAATTCGCGACGGTGTTTCTCCACGTCGTCATCGTATTCCGTTAGGATTCTCAGGACACGTCGCCACTGCCGTCGCCGCCGCCTCGACTTCCGAAACGTGCCATAATAACTAACGAGAAGTTGCTTGAAAAACAACAGTGAGTCATCTCGGTTATCCCATTTCCCGGGGTAATCCGCGGTGCGCTCTGAGGTACTATAATCTTTTAGTACAAGAGCCGATTCAAGTTCGGTAGCGAGACGGTTACCGAGGGTCCAACGGGCGATCCTCGACCGTCTCGTGCTGTCCAGGCTCAACAAACCTAAACTATATATAAATATTATACATAGATACGTCTAACTCCACCGAACCGCGCTTAAAAGGTTCCACCCCCCCTCTTAAATCCCCTAATCGTAAAAGGTCCCGTAATGCTTAAAAAAGCGAATCGCACACCAATAACACCCACGTACACAGGCTCGTAATAACGTGTGCATCGCGTGGTCGCGACGAACGTTTCACCACCGGCGAGTGGTGCCGTATTGTCGCGTTGTACGGTTGTTAATTATATACGTACCGAAATCCCCTTCCCCGTGTGTGTGTGTGTGACAGACGGACGCGACGCGACGCGACGCGACGCGACGCGGCGCGACGCAATCCGTACGGACGTTTTTCTCACTCGCGATCAACGTTTCGCGCGACGACGACAAAGCGACGTTGACATTTCGCGCACGAGAAAGGAACGTAACCGTCGGACGTAAACGCGTCGGCACAGATACGTACGCGCGCACACACACGAGCATACACACGTAAATACAATACACATACATTACACATATGTACACATGTACAATACATATATTACAAAACTCATCAGCAGCACACTTTTAAGGTAAAGATATAAATGCGCGCAACTTGTGCTCGTCGGTAGCACGAAAACTATTAGCTCATAAGCGAACAAACAAAATATAGTTATTACAAACAGTTATATTATATATATTATATATACATACAGAGTATGAAGAGTATGACAGAGACAAAAAAAAAACCGGGCGAAACCCATTCACACTTACACGTTTAACTGAAGGTGCGGTAAGCGTGGAAGAGCGAGCATTTTTCGTGAGCAAAGCACGCGATGGAGAAGAGAGAAATAAAAAAAACTAAATGCTAAATATTATATATATTATATATATAAATATTATAAATAATGAATATAGGGTCTATGAGACTAGGATAGTTAGGCGAAAGGGAAATACGAGCGAATGCGGAGCGCGCGCCCGCGCGGGTTTTACGCGATCCCAAGTATTGTCGTACGTGAGAATGCGAGGAGCACAGGAGGCAGAGGCGAATGCGTGTGCGGAAGCGAGAAAGGGAGAGAAAGAATACGCGAATGATTTGACGAATGAACGACCTTGGGACCGACGTAGACGCACGGGCGCGCCGTTGAGCGAATGATTCGATCGAGTAAACGTGAATGCTTCGTGAGCATCAAGGAGGAGCGAATGAGAAGACGAGAGTGAGATTTTAGAATGGCATGCTTCAGGTAATCTGAGGTCCTGTGATCGTTATAAGCGAAATATTTTTTTATTTCCGGGTAATATAATCAGAAACGCGTAAAACTCTTGCGTCGTTTTGAACTTTTACTTGCAATATACCGTTACGTTCTCGCAATACTTAGGATGAAGAAGAATAAGAAGAGACGAATAGGAAATAAAGAAGGTGGATGAACAAAAACAAAAGAACAAAAAGAAAAAGATAATACGAAAATGAGGATGACGAGGGAGAGGAAGAATATAAAGGAAAGTACGTAGGTTTGATCGTGGAGCGAACCGAACTAACCCCTTACCCCCTCTTGAAATTCCCCTTTTCATCGAGTTTCCCAATTCAATACGAATCTCCAAAGTTGACCAAATTTTTCGTCGTCCTGTCGTATCTCTCCGAATTTTTCACTTAAGCTTTTCGATCATTCGTACTTTCGATGGAGTTATCTTTCGATGAGACGAGACTTTCCGTCTGGTGAAAATTTTTTTTTAGAATTCTTAATATAATTTCTAAGAAGTTTTACAATTTTTCAGAATTTTCTATTTAATGAAAATATTTTCAGATTTGTAAAATTTCTCGTTCTATAATTCCTAAAAATAAAAATCTTAAAAAATTCGAGATATTTTTTCAGAAATTTTCATAAATTTATATGACAATTCGAAAAAATGTCATCAGAGATATCAGAATTTTGTTCACCAGGATTGATCGTAAAAAATATCAGAGAGAATCATGTTTGTGACGTTTCGTTGGAAATAATTTTCTCGAAGCACGAAAATGAGAATTTCTAAAGGAAAGTAAAAACCAACGGAGATTTAGAAAGGCGATTGAAAAAAAGCGATGAAGGAAAAAAGTTGAAGCACTGAAAAGCACTTGATTCGATAAGCATTTGTCTACGACACGATTAGATTTCTTCGTTTTATTGGAATGGCAATCGCGAATTGATATATCTAATGCGGAATTGAATGATAGCGTGCTGAAATTTCTTCACATCTTTGGACGTTAACATCGATCGCGTTACTGTTATCGTTGTTTCCTTTCGGAGACTCGACGAGACTCTTGACTTATATATTTGAAAATCATCCTCTTTGATCCTCGCTTTTCATCCAAAAGTTTTCCCTTCATCTTTCCAAAAATGTAGAACTTCCTAAATTCTGTCAAAAAAAGTACGCCTACGAGTATAACTGGCAAAATCTCTTCTCTCGCTACGTTTGGAAGTGATACTTTCCATAAACTGTGAGAAATTATGTAACAAAAAGCTTCCCTTTCATGATGTATATACTTCCTTCCCATCTTTCATGTCCATTTGTTCGCCAATTACGAAAATAACCTAACGTCGTCATCTTCGTTGAACGTAAAAGACACGCGCCGAGAAGCCGCCGGATAGCCAGGCTTTTTGACCATCTGGGACGAGAGATGAAAAGATCACTAAAGGATTCATCGTCAAAGCTACATTTAACGATTGCACTCGTCTCGCGATCGGAACTCGACGGATGCGTCTGGCATATTTCTTTTCGAAAAATTTTCTAAAATTCGCTTTTTCCTTAAAAAGAAAAAGAAAAAGAAACAAAACGTTCCCGTCACCGTCGGGATCAATTTTTTCGCAAATCGTGAATTCGGAAAATTTGAAAAATTTATAAACTTGTCGTTTGATTTTTTTTTTGTATAAGAGAGGAATAAGAGAAGAATAAGCGGAGCCCCTCGAGTTCCAGCGATCGCGACCGCGGGTCGATTCATTGATCGTTATTATTAAAGTTTTTGCGTTACAGGGCGTTTTTTCCTCGGATTAAGTAGTATGTAAATACACCTTGATATCACAAGCATAAACTGAGAATTTACTGATAAACTTAAACGAACGTACATAATGCGAAATAGGGTTAGTTTCTATGTAAATACCTAAAGCTGGACGAGTGCATACACCTCGTTCACGCAACCAACGATAATCGTTTCTTATCGAACCAGAGCTTCTGTTCGTTGTCGGCGCGTGCCCACGACGATTGGCGATCGCTTCCGCCGCCCTGACCTCGCCACCACCCTAAAGGGTGGACTTTACCATCCCCCGAGGAAGGATCGCGTGCGGGAGCGTTCGCTGTTTCTCGGGCATCACCGATCGGGAAATTTTTTTTTTCACGACACTAATACACTTACACATCAACACTTACACTACACGGCATTGCGATGGATTGTACAGGGATAGGAAAACATCTAAAACACAATCGTCGCACATTTCGACGCCCACCGTAACATCGTTAGGGATCGATTTATCAGAAAATTTCCATCGATAAAATATCGCGTATTGTTTTTCGGTCTTTGATGAAAGAAATCGCGGACACAATGAAACGTATAATAAGTAGTGTGGTAAAAAAAATTTTGTAGCGCTTCTGGTGCGAAAGAGATGCGAGCGTGCTGCAGAAAATTAAGAATGAGAGAAACGGCGTGAGAAAATCTGGAAGAGAGCGGATGCAAAATTGAATAGAAATTTTAAGATCTGTTTGAAGCAAAAAGGAATGTCAGACAATATCGGTGAGTTTGAGAATGGACGATGGAGCGAATGAATAGAATTTAGTTAGGCGAAGCTGTTAGCACGTGTCTCGCGCGGCTGAAGCGCGAAATAAATTCTCGTTGGAAAATTCGCGAGTTATCTAACGATTTTCAAGTGAACCGTAATTTCATTTCGCGGTCCTTAATCGAGCGTCGAGAGATATCAAGATCACGGTGCACGAAATAGGTAGTAAAGAGCGCAATAAGAGCGAAGTAAGAAACGGAAGGATGGAAAGGTCAGAGCGGTTACTAGTTACCACCATCACAAAAAAAAAATTTAATAAAACAACAGCGACAACAATACAAAACACTACCACCACTACCACGTCGAGATCCTTCATGACTGAATCGCGATCATGAAACGATTGACAGACGACTGTTTTCGACCGGTGCATCCTGCCGTGCGCCGAGGGTTGCTTTTTTTAATTAGCAAAGCGACAAGAGCGCGATAATCGACGGGATGGTTCTCCAACCTTCCCCCCGATTGCAATGAAATAACACATCTTCGCGAAGGAAAAATTCCCGAGGCGCCGGCCCGTGCCCCGCGAACGTGTACCATAATTTTAAATTTAAACGAAAGGTAATGCAAAAAAAAAACACACACAAGCGCGTTAAACAATAGATCTAGTAGTGTATGTTCTGTAATCAACTGAGAAGTAAGCGAGGATAAAGATAAAGAAAAGTAATAATAAAAAAAATGCGGGTCACACCGCGAAAAAAAGCACAAAAAAAAATAATTTACAAATATATTGATTTACATATGCCCGTAACTCGTAAGGGGGCCGGTGGCGCAAACGCGCCCGTGTGAGATTTTCGGGCCCTACGACGACGTAGGAAGAGAGGAGACGGCGGGACACGTAACACGGGCGTCCGCGAGAGCCGCGAGACCACGAGATGTGCTCGCGGTCCATAAAGCGGAAGCGGATAAAGCGCGAGAGACCGTGAAAAAAAAATCTAAAGAGACGGTTGTCGGTTGGGTCGTCCGTCTTCGTCGCGAGAGAGGCGGCGAGCCGCATAAAGACGACGAAGGAAGACGAGAAAGCGACTGTGAGCAGCGACGAGATACGGAAAAGGGGACGGAGGCTCACAACAACGCCTAGACAACGGGAGAATCCGGAGAGGAAAGCCCCGAGGCGTCACGGACGACCCGAGGACGACGCATGAGCGCCCGACCGTAGTCCACTCGTGGAAACACGACTAGCAAGTAGTCGAGAAGAGGCCCACAATGGTAATAATAATGATAATAAATATATATATATATATATATATACGCGTATATATATATGTAATAATGAAGAAAATCCACAGCGCGACGTCGCCTGCAAAATCGGCCCTACCATAATCTTAATCTCTTTCATGTAAATTTGCTAAATGTTTAAATAATCTAAAAAGTGCCATAGCCCGGATGCGCTGGTGCATACTCCCAGCGCATACACACTTACAAATACGACTCGACCTTCACGAATCAAACGAAAAAATCCGCGGACGCGCGAGCGCGCGCGCGCTCGCGACCGCGGTAGAATTGGTATTCTCGCCAAGGAACAAATACAGTGTAACAACAGTGACAGAAACCAACGCAAACAGGACACCCCACCCCCCCGCACGGGACGAGCGCGTATCGCGCGCTCCCAAACGACACACAAGTTAAAGCGAAGTCGCCCTGGTCCACGAGCGTGCAACCCCGCGCGCTCAAACAGTTCTCAATACACGAGCACGCGCGCATGCGTGCGTGCGTGCGCGCGTGTTCACCCGCATAATACACAAGGTACAAGTACACAGTTTTCCACACTCGTATACACTTTAAGCACACACGTCTACACACTTAATTACACACGCTACGGATATGTAAAGCCAATTAATTTTGTAAATTGCCTAAAAAAGAATTTTTGAAAAGACACGATTCGGCCCCGCGATAACATTATATTTTTGCGCGTGTCACGCAGAAAAACGCCGATCCACCTGGGAAAAGTCTCTCCGGCTTTTTTTCCCTCTCGCGAGGGGCGAAAAAAAGAAAAAGAAAGTCCGCTTTTCACAGAGGGGAGACGCGTCTTCTCGGGCACCGTTGGAAAAAGACTTTGTCGACTTTTCACGGTTCAATTTCAGAAGAGAGAGCAAAATTCGTGGATGATAACGGCACACGCGTTTGTGCTGGTAGTGCTACGTAATATGTATGAACGCAGCAAAATTTCGCGGCCTTTGGCATACAGTTTGGATGCAGTACCGATGATGAACGGTGCGTGCGTACTCGCGTGAGACACGCGCGAGTGCGCACGCCCAAAACACGTCCCGGACTTGACACGAGAGTACCCGGATGTGACGTGTGGGCGGCCTCTTCGTCGGGCTAAGTCCCGACAACGGATAGGTGGCGAGGTGCCAGAGAATTTTGTCAATGAGAGTCGATGGCAAGTGAGAGAAGGATTTGAAGAAATGCGACAAAGTGGCGAATGAAGTCCAAAACGAAGTTCGAAGCCCTTTGATCGGTGAGAGACTGAGAGAGCGAGCGAGCGAGCGAGCGAGAGAGAGAGAGAGAGAGAGAGAGAGAGAGAGAGAGAGAGAGAGAGAAAGGCACCTTGGATACCACCTTGGAGAGACCCATGTTCCACGAGACGCAATCACGAAAAGTGTAATAATCACATAAGGAACACATAACTAAGAGGAATGTGGCAGCGGCAATTGCATAAGGGCCGTTGTTCGAGTGCGGCTTTACAAGCAAAAACCGTTGGTTTGTTTTTGATCGGGTTTTAATTTTTTAATGAAATAATCTCACGACGCGCGAATATATATCACGTACGATCGCGCGCGCGCACGTGCGCGCCTGGATTTTGCAGTGCAGCTCCGTGATGATCGTACCGGCAATATTTGTTGGGGGCAAACGGCACGACGTACGACGTATGTGCATATTATTCGCGGCAGTGTGTATCGTAAGTGCGCAGCATATGATAAAACCGACAGTCTAGCAGTGCGAGCGCCTCGGCGGCATTCGCGTCTTCACGCGGTGACCCTGACCGAGCCTCCGTGATTAAAAACCGGAATAAGTTGTTTAAATGTCCACTATATAAATGAAAGAGCCATAGTTGTTAAGGCGGTGGGTTCCGTCGTTCGGCGAGTCGATTCGACCTCACATCGCGTCACACGCGTTCGTCCTGGCCCCAGAGAGAGAGAGAGAGAGAGAGAGAGAGAGAGAACTTCGAGAGAGACGAGAGGCGGCGAGTCAACGGGGGAAAACGCGCGAGCGACAGTTACGGAGAGATTTCAACGACCGCGAAAAACATTTGGCAAACCGGCAAAATTCCGAGGTTCCTGGCAGATCGAAACAACAACAGAGGTAGCCGAGAGAATCCGATTTGGAAATTTCGCGTCTAAATACGACGTTCGGCAATCGAAATTCAATATTAACTCTAATCCATATTCTCGATACTTTTAACATTAAACGTCGGGCTCTCTATCCGATTTTCTCATCTCTCTGAAAGTGGCCGGTTCAGTGCCGGCGAAAGGAAAATAGATGAGATCGGAATCAGATGTAGCGTTCGGCGTTGGATGTGTAACGAAAATGTGGATCTTTATCTCGGCTATCAAGCGGATGGGAAGGAAAAAGTAGGAAAAAACATCCGGGAACGGAGAGCATCCAGAGACTCTAAACCTTATGATCGATCGAAGTCGTGAAGAAGTAGCGACTGCCATGATCCCCACAAACAATCCACACAATTAATATAATAACGGTCGACGGCAACGAGCGTACGGACCCATCGCGCTGTCTCGTCATGGGACAGATCATGCGAACGTGACGTGTCCGATCGTATTCGATCGTACTCGATCATACCACCGTGTGGTCTTCCCGCGACGAGGCGATACTCTTTTCAAAATATTCTTCATACTTCCGTTCAGGAGAATGTGTTTCTTTTAACCTGAACCCAATCGACCCCCCGCATGCGTGTCCGAGGTGAAAGACCGAGTCCGTTTATTTGGCATAAAAACCGAAAAAGAAAAAGGAAAGAAATCGATAACCGCGCGAAAGACAGACGAAATTAGGTAGTAACTTATGAATATGAAAAAGTTGCGAATTTATCACATAACTGTGAATCGGCATTAAAAGAAAACAAAAAAAAGACAGAACACGAGAGTGTGTGAGATGAGTATATTGTCCGCTGAGTGGGTGCCTTCGTCAGGGTTTTCCGTTACAGTAAACAGACAGTTCTCAAGTATAACTCACAATTAGTAGTGCTATAGTAGGACAGTAATCACAGTGTACCGCAGTTAAACAGTTAAATAAGTAAGTATACGGGAAGCACGTGGTCTTTTTCAGTGTCTGCAGAATCTCGTCGTACACCATCTACCGTTAATCGGGTAGTGGCACGACCGGAAGTATACCGGATTCATTTCGTGCGCAACTTCCTACCGAAACCTCACCCGTCCCGATCCACCGTTTGGCTAAACGTTTCTACCCTTCTAAACGACTTCTAACTAACTTACTTGGCCCACGAACGACCGGTACAAAAAGGAATTCGATCATACTTATCGAGAGAAAAAAAATCTGTCCTAAGAGCAAAATTCCAAAAATAATTTCCCAACCTTACCAAACCGGTCGCTCGCAACCTTTCCTTTCACAATTCAATCGCGACATTTAACAAATAAATATGATAATAAGTGTACTAAGTGTCTGTAGTTTAGCCAACGTGTACGTTGTATACTCTGAGGTAGGCGCGAGAGAGTGACGGTGATAGAAAGTGGGAGAAATAGCCGGAGGAAGAAGGAGAGAGAGAGAGAGAGAGAGAGAGAGATAGACGATTGCACGGTGGAGCCATATTTAACTAACTGATAACAATTAATTAATTACAGTAATCATTCAAGATGACTTAATTAACAGTTAACCGTATCGCATACACACATGAATAATTATTAATTACACGTACTCCAGTATATAAGTAAGGCGCCGAGCGGTAGCGCCGCGCGTACCGCGCGCACCGCCTCTATCCAATAAAGAAATCGCGAAGGCACTCACTACGGAGATCAACGAGCAGGGACTTTGGGACTCGGACGCGGATCGGAGGGTACCTGAACACGCGAGCCCGGATTCCAGATCGAAATTGATCCGCCGAGTGATCAACGTGGGAGGGGAGGGGGGGGGGAGAGGGGGAAGAGGAAAAAAAAACAGAAAAAGAAAACGATCGAGCCCGACGAAAGTCTCCGGGAAGTCTGTCCGGCTCTTCCGGCGATCGGAAACGATCGGCTGTTCGACCTCAGGATCGTTTCAACTCGCTCGCGACAAGATCGTAACTGCGTGTTCGAGCAACGCGTGTTCAGGTGTCCCGCGCACCCCCTTTACTTTATTGGTCTTTCAAGTGCAACGTTGAGTTACTTCACTTACAGCGTTGTTTTTCTACACAATACAAAATACCCCACCACCCGTCCCCACCGGCGAACCAATCCACCTCATCACGCTCCCGCAGGAACAAAGCCATCCCCTTCACCCACCGCCCCAATCACTCATCCCCCATATACAATGTTGTCTCACGTCCGTTCGCGATAAACTTGGTTGCGAGTCCAGTGGTGGTCGCGCTCCGTTCCTTCGGTTAGAAAACAAAAGTAAAAGAGATCACGATTAAAAAAAAAAAAAACTGGAATAGGCAAACCCTTTTACTTTTAATAAAAGAGAATTTTGGAAGGATTTCTTATCGGAGAAATCACCGATTCATTTCTATATCCTCGAGAACCGTTTTCTCCAAATTTTGACAAAATACTTTTGCGAAAGTGATCCAAAAACTGATGCTATTCCGACGGTTTCATCTCGACAATGGAACGGAACGCGACTCAATCTCGACTCCGAAAAAAAAGCGAACGTTAAGTTTCTGAATTCAGACTTTTACGTAAAGTTAGTTACCGAGTAATACAGCGCAAGTTATCGTTAATTTTCGACGCGCAGCCTCGTTGCGACGAAGGCGATGCAAAATAGCGTGCAAATCCATCCGCACGATCTTCTCGCGCTGAAGAGCGCGACGAGGATGCGCGTGCAGGTTTAATGGTATCGATTGAGTTTGGTCGAAGTCCCCTTTTGGGCAAACACACCGACGCACTTCCGGTCCCGCCGGCCAGCATCGTTCGACAGAAAAAAAAAGAAGGAAAGAAAGATGGGGAGGGGGGAAAAAAACGATCTCGAGCCTCCGAGAAGATCGCAATAGAGAGGAAGCGATCCTCCGTTCGAAATTCAATTCTAGTCAAAAGAGGGTACAAAGCCGAGACGGGTGTCAACTCGGACAGGCGAAATCGGTACTTATTTAATGCGAGGAGAAAGCAAGGGGGAGATAGAAAGAAAGAGAGAGAGAGAGAGAGAGAGAGAGAGAGAGAGAAAGGAGGCTCGAGAGGGAGAAACTTTCCATAGGATTGCGTGTATTTCATTCGGCGCGGCAGAGAAGAGATTAAGGGAAACACGGGAAATCGATGAATTGGAAAAAAAAAAAGAGGAAAAAAAAGGAAATCGAAATATGGTGCTGGAGACGCAATCTGTGGAATCGGCGGGGTGGCGGGACCGTACACGAGGAAATATCCGCGTTGCTGACAAAACGTAGCCTCTTTTCGTTGTGTCAAACCGCCGGCCAGGATCCGGGCCGATCCTTGTATAAGCAAAAACGACAAACTTTCAAAAAGCAAAAAAAGATGAATGTACGGTGCGAATGGATCTTTCATGAAGCTTCGATTGTTGTTGTTCCGTCGAGTTTTTCCTTTTGCATATAAAAATACCCACCCTCACGCTTTCCCGGCGAGGCTGCCGGGCGGGATCTCGCACGTTCGTTTCCGATACGCTCGATGAAAATCGATCCTCGATCGGCGAAGATAACGCGAAAAGCTTGGAAAGGGATAAAATGGAAAGAAAAAAAGAAGTAAAATCGAAAACGTCGAGAGCCCGTCAAGCGAGCCCCAGCCTTTCGATACCGCGGTTAACCTACGATTATTATAATTGCTATTAGTTATTAATTATATTATTATTACAATGAGATTGCCAGAGGGCAATTGGAGGCGTATTTTATAGAGAAAGGAAAGGGAGAAAGAGAGAGAGAGAGAGAGAGAGAAAATGCAGGAAACGCGCAATGCCTCGATTTAAAGTTTGGATCGTCGAAGCCATAATATGTTACAAAATAATAATTCTTAAGTAAATCGACGAGAAGCGGTAGTAAGGGAAAAGAAGCCACGTTTCGAGATTCTCCTTTTTTTTTTCTTTTCCTTCTTCACGCGGCTCCTTTTCTTTTTTTAATTACACACGTATACACGAAACACGCGTACATACAAATTTACACTCTAATTAAGTGACTGACTATACGTTACTTAGCAAATAAATATTTATGTACGAAGGTAGAAAAAAAAAAACACGGAACACGATATCGCGTTACGGAAATTTGAATCCTTCTCTCTTCCTTTATTATTATTACTATTACTACTTATAATAATTATTATTATTATCTAGACAATTAGGCATCGAAATTTTATTGTTGTTAACGATCGCGCGAGATTGGTTTTCATTATGTTTGTTATTTTTTTCTTTTTAGTTATGCGCGTGATATCGCACGACTGAGAAAGACGGGGATGAATTTGTCGTTCATTGAGATTTATACGTATTTTTCCTTCATTTTTCTTTACGCTAAGTATATTCGAATTCGACTCTCGCTTTCTTGATCTTTTCTTTTTTTTTTTTTGTTTTTTTCTTCTTTTTTTTTATTTGCGTACCGCGCATGTGTATCGCGTAGAAGTTATATTCAAATTCTACGTTCCTTCCCCCCCCCCTTTTTTTTTACGCATACCAGTGCACTTTCCTCGTTCAGATGGCGAAGAGTACGGGGACTAATCTCGATCTCATTTTACACGTATCCGACGTATCGCCGCGGGGGAAAATCAAGCTCGTTCGAATCGACGGGTCGCGAGGATTGAATTTTATTTCTTCCATGTCCCATTATACGTACTCCTCAATCGTCTCATCGCAACGTTTTCGTTCGCCGAACCGCGAGATTACTGTTAACGACCACGCTTTTAGTCTCTACGTGACGATTACTTTCGGTCTCGCTATGAGAGAGTTCCTATTTAATGAGAAACAATAATCGGTTAGAGAAAGGTTTGGAGGGGGCGGGAGGGGGAAAAAGGGGGGGAAAAAAACGAGCGTGGCGGGAAACGCGTCGTTCGGCGAGCGAGCTCGTCGAGTTACGTTTGCTAGTCAGAATTGGTTTGAAAAACGATGAAGCAAGCTAGAGATTTTTACGATTAGTTACTGCCTATTATTAATTAATTAATTTTGTTAAGCGTAACCGTTACGTTAGTTAACGCGGCCTCACACTCGAGCTGCACTCATCCTGAAGTAAAGTAGGTCAACTTGTACACGTGCACGCACACGCGCGCACGCACACACAGACACACAGACACACGCATACAATGATATACAAAACTACGGTTCTTTAGTTACTATTCATATAGATTGAGTATCCTTGATTTATAAAAAATTAATCACAGTCCGCCGAGACGTAGGTCATGTTAAATTTAAGTCAACTCCATTCTTATTTTTGTTACGATCTTCCTTTTTCCCGCCCCCCCCCCCTCTCATGCCTTAGACGCATACATTCACGCAGACTTAGCCTGCCACAACTATTACATAATAGCATATAGTGCCAACACCATCATCACTCCTATTATTACACTGCTACCGCTGTCGCTAGGAAATATTTGTACGTCGCTATTATTATTACTATTATTATTATATTATGTTATATATTATATGTTATTATTATAACAATATTATTATTATTATTATATTATTATAAACATTGTATGTATTAGAATTCCGTGTTGTAAACTGTTCTGTCCTCGTTCGCGTATGGTACATTAGGTAAATCGATGTGATACATGTCTAGTTCTCTTTGTGTCAATTCGACCGTGATTAGTTTTCCCTCTTCACATCCTTTAATTTTTTTTTTTTTTTCGTTTTTTTTTTTTTTTTTCGTTTCGTAATTCCTCTTTCGCGGTTCCTCGCGCGTGCGCGATCGACGACGGCTTCTTTTGCCTGAGAGAGAGGCAGGATAACATGTCGAATCTTTAAAATACGCTGACGATTGTCACATGGAGTTTAGGACACGTGCATTTATTAAATTTTATCGTTACCTACTATTATACCTTGTCGATGGAATACCGGGCGTACGAACGCTTAACACGCCAAGCATGGAGGATGCTCTGAGAAAATCTTCCCTCTTTTATCGCTCGACGTATCGGAATTTCGGATACGCTCAAACAAATTCGAGACTTCGGATATATTTCTAAGTATACAAAAGTATATGTGTGATCTTAAAGCGAAATTAATGTTATATTGATCTCGATACAACCGGCGTTCGTACACCCGGCGATATTCGTTATTAGTTAACGCTATTAGTTATTATCAGTTAATGCTATTAGTTATACTATTACCACTATTATTAGTTATCGCTATCGACTCTTGATGCGTCCCTTATTGTCGATCGGCGAAATAACTATTTCGATTGCCCTCTTCGTCTCGAACGCGCTTCGTTTAGTTAGCGCGCTGTCACATTAATCTCATTAATCATCTCCTTTCACTAATTAATAAAATCTAGACTCGAAATTAGGATCTCTCGAAAGTGTTACATGGTACGTTATGGAAAAAGAAAAAGAGAAAGATTTTCACCTGTTTGCACACATTTCGTCCATTCCATCATACATTTCGTGCGATGATATAAAATTATTACATTGTTGAGAAATGAATCGTAATCGTTATATCTTGATCGTTCGAAAATTTCATGTGCTAAATTAATGTGCAGCGAGAGAAAACACGGAGTTAATCGATCGAGACGGAGAGCGGTGTGCGCGATTTGAGATGTTTCGATGGAGGATTAATGTCCGAAAGGTGCGATGACTAGCTAAAGGAACCAGAACGCAACGAAGAATGTCAAGAAGGACAGTTCGTTCTGATTGTTTCTGGTCGCGTTCTGGTTGCAATTAGAGAAGCTATGGGATCCTCAAAGCACCAATGCACGTCGCGAGCTACGTACATACAATTTCGAATTTCGGAAAATAATCGACGCGCGAAAAAAGAAGTACGGAAATAAAAAAAAAAAGCTATCTTAAAAGCACAATTACTATGTAGTGAGGAGGAGAAAGAGAGAGAGAGAGAGAGAGAGAGAGAGAGAGAGAGAGAGAGAGAGTAAGGAGGAAGCATGTCATACAATTATATTCATACCAATCTCTTTCGGTTACGAGCAAGTTCCGCATTGTGTAGGATGTCTCATTGATGATTACGATGTGAAGATTAATATCTACGAGATGACGAGAATGGTCGATGATTGCGACTAACGGTGGAAGAGCGAGATCCAAATTGTGAAATCGCGAGAGCCTTTTTGCACGAAAACGCATTTACAAACGGATGCGTATCTCTAGGAACGTTCTTTTTGTTGTTGTTGATGATGATGATAATGATAATACGTCGATGAAACGAAAGGGTGCTTCTGTGTGATGGAAGGAGCTCCGGGCACGCGTGGAAGGAAAATTCGAAATTCGGTAAAAAAATATCTAGTCTTTTCCCTACCACGTACGCGACGACCTGATTCCGTCTCGCGTACGTGGGCAGTGTTCGATGAGAATTCAAAACTAGCATGTATCGACATCTACTGGAATCAATCTTTTTGGTCGATCAGTCGACCGTCAATTACCTTTCCAGGCACAACGACGACGGGTGAACAGGATTGCAAGGAAAGAATCTCGAGCGCCAGCTCCTTTGGTGGCTCCGAAAAGCTATTATTCTTATGTCCGAACGAAATGTGAGATCCGATTTATTCCCCGGTCCAGTTCGCCCTTCGTTATCACTCTCTTTAATCGAGAAAACATGCTCAATTCTTGTCGATCAATCATATTATCACGCTCCATATTTAGGACGCTCGAAAGATGTGCTTGATTTTACGGCGCAAAATTTGTTAGAAAAAAAAAGTGTACGACGCTTCGTCGAGGTCTTCTCTAGCAATCCAAAAAAGAAAAAAAAGAAAAAACAATACTTTCGGCAAAAAGCAACCACTTTTCGACGGCAGAAATTATTTTTTCAAAGGAATTTTCTCAAATCTTACCGCGTTCGATGCGTGAAACAGCGCGAGGAAAGACCTCGACGAGACATCGTGATTCTCTCGAACATATCAAAACACAATGGGCTCCACGTTGGAGCATTACTGCGACATTACTTTCGATGTGTAATTAGATTGTAAGTAATAAATCCAATAAAAACGCACGCGTCTATGCGCACCGCGATGCGCGCTCGCGCATAGACGCCATTGAACACTGCACGATCGATGATCGCAAGAAAAAGTTGTAATAAACGCGAGATCGAGGATGGGAAAAGATCCGATCCTTGAAACATCCTTTTAGGCTTACAATCGAGGATTAAGATTGTTAGATGTTAATGTCTGCGGAGCGGGTCGGCTTGGCGCTTGGTGAAAGTGATCCCTTCGCGCAAAAATTTTCTCACAAAATTCGAAATTCTTTGAACGAAATTATAATACATGAAATGAAATTTTTATCTGTGAGATAACGCAATAATTCTTTTACGGCGATAAAAGAAATCACAATTTATATACGGCAAGAGACATTTGAGGAGCTATGTCTAATAAAGAGACTCGAAATACAGAGATCATTTCGACAAGATCGCGAAGCCGATTCGCGGGCGTGTAGATCGATGATAAGCGAAAGGAAAAGAAGTTTATAAGCGAGAATAAATTCTTCGTGCCTCACGACTTCCGGCTGGACGACCTTTCACGCGACTACGATATTCATAATTAACGGCTCGGATCGTTGATGACGGGAGACGAACGAAGGAATTTGATCCGCAGTTAAATTGTAAATACGCGGTAATCATGTGAAAAATGATGCTCCCGATCGTGAAATTCGTTCCTTCGTAAGCGCAAACGGAAGCTCGTCGATTCCGGAAGCACGCGATCGGCCAGCCTAAATTTAAGGTCTTTTTTAGAAATTAGCGGCGGAAAGGCAGATATATATCGCGAGGGCGACTATCGCTGCAATTTTGTGAATGAGAGAGCAAGAGTTTGCCTGCGACTGAAAACGTTGGGAGATAAGTTGAGTGAATGGAAAAAAAAAAATGCATCGATCAGTGTGTTTGCTGGTAAGAAAAACAAATCGAGAGAATGAGAGAATGAATGACATATATATAGAGGGAGAGAAAGAAATTAAGTAAGCGAAAATGAGATATAAATGCATGTGAGAGATAGGAGAATAAACAAAATTTTACTACCAAGTGGACTAGAATCGCAACCGATGGGCATTATTAAGCGAAAATAAAATTTTCGGAGCGTTTTTTCGACGAAGAAAAGCGTCCAAAATTGTACCTATTTTCATTTTATAAATTATATATATATATGTATATGTATATGTATATGTATAGATATACGACGATCTAAACGATTATTATTGCAAGATGTAATTGCAAGAGAGAGAAAGAGAGGGAGAGAGTGTGAAAGAGAGCGCGCGAGAGAGCAAGGCGATAGAAAGACGATGAAAAATAAGAAATTATTGTATCTATATTCGGAAAAATGATCGATGATGTATTCGAATCGTGATTATTATTATTATATATTATGATTATTGTGTATAGTTAAGGCGAAAATGGAATTTTAGACGAAATTATCGAACTCGAGGTATACATATAGGGAATGTAAGTGAGAGAAAGAACGTGTACGTGTGTGTGTGAGAGAGAGAGAGAGAGAGAGAGAGAGAGAGATTTCTCGATGGTGATTGCACATTGCATGTCGACAGGCAACAAAACAGAGTCCCCCTCCCCTCCAGTAATAAAAATCAATAGAAAAATCAAGTCATGGCCGAATGAAACGCAAGAGCAAAAAGTTTTTTCAGTACGTGAATTTTTCGAGATCTTTCAAAATTTGCACGAAACGGGCGACTTCTTTTCATTTTTCGAGATCGCGAAATTTTTCTTCCAAAAGATATTGAAAAAAAAAAAAGAGAGAGAAAGAGAGAAAGACAGAGAGAGTGATTCTCGTTTCCTTTGTACCAGGACCAAAAGAAAGCAAATAGCCGAATATATATCTATATATAAAAATATACATATATGTATGTATGTATGTATGTATGTTCGTATGTACGTACATACATGAAACCAACACACGCAACGCGTACGAGACGTGCGAACGTGTTCTTCAGCGCGACGATCCTGCCGGAACGATGCGCGATCGAGCGACTTTCGGACAACCAGAACGAGTGCCTCGGGTCCGATCCCAATGCTGGACGGGCCCAGATTTGGGAAAATTTTTTGCCGGCAGATCGACGCGCTAGAGGAACACGAACGGTGAGGAGGAGAGGAGACAGGAGGCAAAAGTAGCTCGGACAGCAATAGTTACAGGTCGAAACAAGCAAAAATTACAGGTTTAATAAGAAAAGAAAAAAAAAATACAACAATAGAAATTCAGTCGGAACAGCGGAAACAAAAATCGCGTAGAAAACACGAGGCAACGTATAGTTATTATATTTTCTCTGTTAGCGCACAGATCGCACCATCACAGTTTCAGTTCTTCCCTCGCGATCGTAGATCGTTGTTAGATTTTCCGACGCTCATGGTATCGCGACGTCCGCATCCCTCGATCGAGAATGCATTTCTCACGAATAATCCGTTCGGTTGAATATCACAGAGTGATCGAGAGAGAGAGAGAGAGAGAGAGAGAGAGAGAGAGAGAGAGAGAGAAACAAAGTTGTCATCGATCGACGGATCCGAGACGTCGTTAACGCCTTATTTTTTTTCACCGCAACGTATCTGTTCTTCTCATCAGTATTGCAATTTCCCAAACCCCCTCCCCTGCAATCATCTGCTCCTGATTACAGCGTATCCTCATGTGCGGTACAAATCCCGCGGATATATCCCGTTTTTTCACCCTCACCACTCCACCGCCACCGAACATCCCCCCCCTCTCCCCCCC